CCCTCCAGCTGCTGGCAGGGAGCTGCAGCTCAGTGGGGTCTCCTGCCTGAGCCCAGGTCTTGGTGCTGGGCTTTGTAGCTGACTCTCACCCTGATCTCTCCTTGCTGACTTGGCTCCAGACCTGCCTTTTATCTTGGTGGGCCTTCAGGTAACTGTGGCTGACTCTGTTCCTATTGCCAAGGTTGTTTTTTGTTTGGGGGTGTGTGATGGTGCTCCTGTCAGGAAGGACACTGCCCTGATTTTCACCTTCAGCTCCTCAGGCTCACCTCTCCCTAACACCTCCAGTCTCTGTTTTTTCTTTCTCACCTGCTTATGGAATAACTTCCCTCTGCACCATCGAGTCTTCCTTGGGCACTGCTTGGGGCAGAACTTGATTGTTTACAGATGCAAATTCAAGTGTTACTTTCAGCGAGGAGCAGAATGCTGTTACCTCTTTTGGGTATATTTAAATGAAGCTGTCCCAGAGCATCCCAGAACAGACATATGGAGAAATGCTCTGCAGAAGTTCCCCTTCTCTCTGGCTCTGGGGTCCTGAGGGCTGATCTAGCTGCTGATGGTATCCATGAAGAAGCTCTCTCCCAAATCCATGAAGTTCAGTGGTGTTTTTCCTGGCAGGTGTCAAGGGAATAAGCAGATCTATCCCTCCCTTGCCCCAGACTGGGACTGTAATCTGCAGAGATCTTTTCCTTTCTGTCTAGTTTCCTACATGAAGCAGTTTTAGCTTCACTGGTGGTTCAATTTCAGTCCCCACAGGCAAACAGGTGATTGAGCTGTCTCCCACCAGCTCTCCTGCTTTTCAGTTGCTGGTGGCTCGGACTGTTCCCTGAGCATGGGACTGTCACCTCTGAGGCTGAGAAGGGCCCTGGGCTCCACCTCCTGAACTTGTGTTCCAGCAAGAGAGCTGCTGAGTGCACCACGATTGCCACTGTCCATTCAAAACCAGTGACTTTGCTGAAGGTGTGAGGCTTTCCAAAAGGCGTGGCTTTAAATGGCCAATTCTCATCACCAAAATACTGCTGTTACATCCTGACCTCTTCTGGTGCACAACCCACAGACACATTCACATCAGCTCTGAATAAAAGCAATAACGTGGCTAACAGCACTGGATAAGCCCCAGAAGCACTCCTGCACTCCAGCCAGGCATCTGCAGAACGTGGAGCCCACCAGGGGGCCATCTGCCTCTGCTGCGACACACCTCATCTGGGTTTGTGCTGGCTGAGCTCCTGAGTTTCAACACCTCTTGCTTCTGGCTAGAGGCTCCAGTAACACCTTCATCATCCATTTCCACAGCCACTTTAAATGGAACAGATTTACTTTTTGTTTTCCACAAAACAAAGTTGGTTTCCTTGTTTGTTTTTTTTTCAACAATGCCCACTTTGATTAACTGAAGCCTTTTCCCAACATGCAAACTGTTCTGTGTGACACCATCCACTGTCCATGCAGAACTGCTTACAAATCCCATTTCTAGGTCTTGCTTACCAATAAGAACTACAAATAAGTATTTTAACTATGATTTCTAGGAACTTTTTAGTGTTAGTTTTGTAATAGAAACTTGCAGCCATACCTAGGCTGATAAAGCCCAGCCTCCAGTGAGTTTAAAGAATATGGAGTCAAAAGGCATTGTGCAAAAGATGAGTATGAGCTCATCACCCTGCCCCAGAAACCTCGGAGGGGGTGTGCAGAAGGATGGCTCTCACTCAGAAGCCTGTTCACAAGGTCCATTCCAAGCTCATTTGTGTCACTCAGTGCTCTGTATTTGAGTGCCACACCATCCATGCTCTGGTATGGTACATGCTGTGGTCTTTCTTCCAGGCTTTTACTCCTCAGGTGTAACCGTGTGCTCAGGTAAGAATAACCACAGAGAAGTCTGCTTACAGCTCTTGTTTTTCCCACTGACACAACCCTGGTTAAGAAAGGATGATTTAGAGACTTCAGCTCAGAGTCCCTTCAGCCACACAATATTCAGCATAAGGTGAACAACTGTTCACCTTAACAACACTCTAAGGGACAAATCCTCAAGGTGTGCAGGTTCCTGGAAACCACACACAGCATCCCCAGTAAGCACAAGTACAATTGCAAAGGTGCTGGAGTGAGTTACAAAGACAAAACCACACAGAGGGAATGATACTTGTATTTATTCTTTTTCCCCAGAAGCCCTGAGGACAGGAATAGAAAAGTTCCAGTAGAAATGTCACAGGGACAGTTGAGCAACATTTGAATTGGTGAGTCCTGGACCTCAAATTTGTAAAATGACACACAAAAAGTGTGATGTATCAAAAAAGCAGACTGATCTATTTTGAAATTTTGAACATAAAAAGATTTATATTTAGGGGAGGTATACTGGATCTTTGGAGAGAGATGCCTTCTTAAATGTCTCCTTCCAGCACAGCTACAGATAAACTCAGAAAAAGGAGAAAATTCCCCCAAACCTTCTGAATTATGCCTGACCAGGTCTAATGAGAATGCTTAAGTGACAACACCCAAGACCTGCTGCATGTTTACATGCTGAGTGGCTCTTGTACAGAAATAATTGGATAAATAATTAACATGGGTTAAGGGAAGGGTTTGTCCCACACTGGACCAAGGGAACACAAGGACAGTGCTACAGGGGATGTGCAATCTACACATTTTCCTATGAAGGGTCAATGGTTCACCTTGCCTCAAGGTGAAAAAATGAAGAAAAAGATACAGAGGAAAAAACACAGAAGAGCTTTAAAATGAGTCACCACTGGCCACCAACCTGTCCCAAAGTCCCCTCTGTCTGAGCTGGCCATTTCTGAGCCACCTGCCAGGAACCTCAACTGAAAATTCTCCTTCTGCATGAAAGAGGCACTCCAGGAAGATTTTTTTTTTCCCCCAAGCATGCATGCTTTTAATAAAGGGGGAAAGCACAGATCATATGATAGGATCAGGTTTAAGTGCCAGATTGGACAATTAGGTCCTGACAGGAAGTTTTAGCTGATAATTCTATCAGCTGATGTGAACTGATAGAACTGATGTGACCAAGTAGCATCATTAGAATCACAGCATGGTTGGGATTAGGAGGAATCTTAAAGACCACCTCTTTCCAGCCCTCCTTCCAGAGGCAGGGACACCTTTCATCAGACCAGGCTGCTCACAGTGGAACATAACAAACTAAACACACTTTTCTTTTTTCTTCCCCTCAGATTTCTGCTATTTCCATTCAATCTTGGTCTTTGGGATCTTTATTAAAGGCCCACAATGGGAACTCCATGGGGTCAAGTGCATCTACTGTTTTCTGGGGACTTTGTAGTGCTGACATTTCATGGCCCCAGCAAAGGAGGGCTAAGTGTTACTGCACAATATAAATTTCCTATTCTTCGTACAGGGAGAAAACAAGTTTTATAAATGAACACCTTCTACCTGTGCAGGCTCAAGAATCTCTGGAATAGTGGCACAATGACCTTTGTGGTTCTCTGAAGGCTAATCACCAAGTGTCAGATAAGCTTGGACTGTCTGGGAATCCCAGCAGCCAATGATTACTATCACATTCCAATGTGTGAGGTGGTGGAGCTGTTGGGTTTGTGTGTTTTCTGTTTTGTGTGTTTTCTATTTTGTGTGTGTGACTTTGTCCATAATATGAAATCAAATCAGTTTAGCAGTTGATTCCACTGACTTGGTGATGAATTTGGTTTGTCCTTATCCACATTTTCACCTGAAATCTTCACTGCCACATTAGCAAACTGACAATAGAAGTGGCTTTACTTTCCAGTGCAGTCAGTAGATATTACTTGAAATTCTGCCTCTTTATTGTTTTATTTTCAGTATTTCAGAAGTATAGCAACTTGTGTTGAAGAAAAAAAACATGTTTTCCAAATTAGAGAGCTCTTGCAAGATAAATTATCAAAAGTTAGCATTAATTGCTTTCTATGCAGTACTTGTGAAAGTCAGAACGTATTTGGCAGAACTGTAAATTAACTTTTGTCTGAGGTGGTCAGAAGCTACACAGAGTTGTTAAAATTTTCCCAATTTTTAATTCTTAGAGCCTCTTTACACATGAGGAAACACCTCCAGCAGGTGAGTAACTAAGGCTGTGCTACAGAGAATCCATTCTACTTTGTAATGAGCACTTTATTGGAGACTTTTGCAGGTCACTTTGAAATTGATTTTCAAACACAACTCCCCTGATTCTCTGGATTTTCTTTACCCATAAAGCTGTATGAAATGTTGCAAGAGCACAATTGATCACTGTTTCATTCTCTCTCCTTAAGCTTGACTATAACCAGCAAACAAGTCTGGGAGATTTGTTTAAGTACCCAGCCAAGAACTACAACCCACAGTGGATCCAGCTGCACATTAACTCTCTGGAGTTAGAAGATTCCAGATGCTTGTGTTTATATCTGGGTCCTTAGACACACTCTGGGGCTTTAGCCTGATGTAATTTTATCTGATCCAAGCCAGGCAGTTCACTTGTGCCACCTGGGTGATTTTAAACTTCTTCTTTTCACCTCATACTGGAGTTTTTGCTGCAGTTCAGCTGGAGCACATTCTGTGTACATGTACAGACTTTCACAACATGCTGCCCAGGAGCAGCTCTGAGAGATACTGGGACACCATCTTCGGAAGAAGCAGGCCAGGATGAGCTTTGCCATTTCAGCTTTCCCATCTGTGCCACAGCTACCAAGACTGACTTAGCCCCTGGAATTCAGTTTGCAGAAATCAAACTCTGCTCCATTTATCATCTGAAGGCACCAGCTGATTTGGATTTTTTTACTGTGCACCAAGGTGTTTGTGGAGGCGCTGCAGGAGCTGCTGTGCTGCTTGGTGTGCCTCAGTTTGTCCAGCAGCAGGCTCAGAAAATGCTCTGTGCATTGCTATCCCTGGCAGCAATCAAATTGCTTTTAAAGTATCTTTTTCCCTGAAGGCCTGAAAGTGGAAAATTCAACACATGTATTGTCAAAGGAAGTATAAATTACATGAGTCCCTTAGGAAGAAAAAGGAACCAAGCCCCAAAACCTGAAGAGTTTACCCAAATTATGTACAAGTCATAAAACATCTCTATTTCATGCATATTTCAAATAATTATCAACTTTTTAAATGCATTCAATTCCACACCACCACATCTTTTCCAAAATTAATATTCATTATCAAATAAGTTAACTTGGAAACAATTTAAAAATGACACCAGTAAAAATGTGCCTAGCAAAGTATTGTAGTATAAATACAAATATCTTTGATTAAGGGTTTTGCAGTTGCACTCTTGTAATAAAGAAGGGCAGAGGTGATTAAGAATTTAATTCAGTGCATAGTTAAACTGGTTGGCAAACTTCTCGTGCTTCCTTTGGTCCACGCGGTTCATGGCTTTCATGACCCGTTTCATGGCCCCTCTGAAAGAGAAACAAAACAATAATAATGGTTCTGTTGAGTCTACTCAATCTCAGAGAACATTTATGAATGTTGGGGATTTGATTAATCACTACCAGGCTTCTGAGTGTGGCATTGATGAGGTTGAACAAATTTGTCTTGTTAACTAAATTAGCTGCAGCAATATAAATAGTTTAATTCAGCAATGATTTTATTAACAGGAGTAAACAAATTCAAGTCTTTCAGTTTAATGGCTGTGTATTCCACCTTCCCAGTGTTATTTCTTAGAGCCACATGGAGCAAGTTTGATTTTCAAAAGCACCTAAGTGCTCTCAGGGGACAAAAAACCTGAAAGTATCTAACAAGATCTTAAAAATTTAATACTCAGCAACCCTTATGAAATCAAACCCACAATCCAGAATGTTTTTGTGAGGGAAGGGCTGGCTGTTCAGTTCATGTGAGTTTTCACAGGTTACTATCACTCTGTTTCATCACCTGTGGGCTGAGTTGGACTCTTTTGCTCACACCAGCAGCATCCCCATTCCTGAGCAGCAGCTTCTAATCCACAAGAAAAACTCTAGTTTAGGAAGACACCAGAGATTACTGTGTGTCTCTCCAGGACAGGCTTCTGCTGCAGCAGTGCTCAGAGCTCAGCCCAGGCAGGACAACACCTCACTCACACCTCACCTGCACATAGGATCCCTGCTGCTTTGGGATGGGCAAGCACCTGAGCCCTCTGCATCTCCTGCTGTGCTTGGAGAAGGCTCTGGAACATCCTTCAGGTTCAAAAAGGAAGTGAGGGACTGAACTTCAGAGCTGTTAAGCTTTCTGGTGCTCCCAAATCCAGTGAGGGCTGTCTGTCCCCCTGTTGCTGCTCCAGTGGCTGCCATTGTTCCTCCCAGTAAAGATGTGCCCAGAGCTTTCTCTAGGGAGGGACTGCAATGCTTCTGAGCTGGGCAATTCAGATACCTGCACTTTCTTCCCTTCCACAAACTTTTGCGTGAAGATTACACAGCTAAGATTTTGAAGGTGAGGAAAATGATAAACAGCAAGAGTAGGAGATTGTCATAAAAGGCAGAGAGAGAGCAGGCCCCTACATCCTCCAGCTGGTAAGGCAGAGGAATGGGTTCACAAATCCACAAGAGTAAGAAGCAGCAGAAGCAGCCAGGAAAATGTGAACATCTGCCCCCTCAGAAACTTAGAGCAGCTGCTGTGCAGAGCTGAGGGCACCATGCCTCAGGAATTTTGTTCCTCCCTGGATTCTAAAGTTCCAGTTTTCACTGGTTATTTTAGACGCCTCTGGGACAGAAGCTCAGCTGTCTGAGGCTGATGTTTGCAGGTGTTCTCAGCTGTCACCCTGCCTATGAAGGCTGTTATCTCCTCACACATCTCCAGGTAAACACCTGGCTGCTCTGCTGATGTGTGAGGTAGAGCAGAGGGACTGTCCCATCCAAAAGCAGGGCACTGACTGATGTCTCCTTTGATTTCTACAAATTTGGCAAGTTCCATCACACAAGTAGATGGTTTCAAGGCCTGTGCTGTTAAGACTCTAAGTTGTCACAGTCTGCATTTATCACTTCTGAGGATGTTCCCAGCTGTGCAGGAAAATGCAGCTAAGACATGCACCTGGGCAGTGTTCCTCAGCCTCTTTCAGGATCAGTCCTTGCACATTATTCCAGCTCTGTTTCCAGGGTTATCTCCAATAAAGAAGCTGACTTCTGCTTTGGTAACTGTTCTCTGTAATGGCTTCATTTCCAAAGCCATTTTGAAACATCTGAAAGAGCTTTCTTCTTAATAACACTCTAAATGGTGGGATTAAAGATTTTCTTAGCAGCAACTGCAATGAAAACCAACATTCTGAAAAAACACCCTGGAAGAGGTATACTTTTAACAAAAGTCTGCCAATAAAGTTACTAGAGTAAGGAAAATGTGGTCATGGTTTTGCACTTCAAATATTACCTAATTGGTAGGAGAAAAGTGAGCCTTTAGCAGTGCAGAGTGGCCTTGCCACTTTCATGTCATGTAGGTTTTACATTAGCACCAGTGGATTGTGTGATACTGTAAATGAAATGAGATCCCACTTTGATGATCTGTGTGCAATTTCACTTAGCTTTACTGGCAGACTAGAGCCTGGGTTTATCACCTATACATTTCAAGTAATTTGGGGTTGTTATAAGGAGCCAAGGTTATCATCTTGTTTAGTGCTGCAAAGCATGAAACCCATTAAAAACTTGACAGGTTTGATTCCCTATGCCTGGCACTAACACACACTCAAAATCATTAGCACAAACCACGATATGAAATTCTAATCACTAGAACTGTATGTCTCTGACTTCCAACTAAGACCAGGTGACATGAGAATTTCACATAAAATGTGCTATTTCCATAACCAAAAATAATGTGGATTTGGCTTTGTTATTATAGCCAGTACACCAGAGAAGGGAAAATTTGAGTTTAAACAAATATTGTGTCCTGTATGCTGTTCAACTCATCCCTTATGCTTAGAGAATAACCCACCATCAATGATTTTACAATAATAGTTTTTCTTTTTTGATTTGACAACTTTACTTTCCTTTGACTACATTTTTGACATGTGAAACTCTTTAAATAGCTGCAGCTGCTTCCCATTTGATAAAGACCAGAGCATGTTTAGGCAAATTGATGTTGTAGCCACATCTAAGCAAGAACAGGCATCAAAAATGGTGTTAATAGAGGACAGATGGAGCTACTGTATGTTTTAAAGCACATTTGGGAGTGGCTGGCAGGTTCCCACAGCCACCTGAGCTGCTGTGCCTGACTAATAAATGATCATCCAGAGAAGCCAATCCAGCAAAGTTTAAAAAAAAATTGTGACAGGATGAAAAAAGTCTTTCATAGGGAAATCTTGCAAATTACTTAAAAATCGCTCTCAAAGAAATAACCTTGGTTGTCAATACCTGCTATTTTTTACCCTCCAGACATATGGAAGATATTCTTGCTTGCAGTTAGCCATAAAGCTGTTTAGTAAGTGCAAGTTAATGTAGAAACAGAAAGTACTGTTGAATCAAGCAGAAATAGGAATTAACAGGCTTTAGAGAATAGAAGTATCTTACTTATTGAAGACTTTCTTCTCAAGCCGAGAACGAGAAGTGTCAGCCTGTTGCTTCAGGTCTGTCAGATTTGGATATTTTTGCTTCTTCCCTTTCTTTTTCTGTCCTTTTCCATTACTTTTAGAGGAACCAAGATCCAGTCCTGTAGCAGCTTCAACTTCTCTCATGAATTCTGGATCTCGCCACTCTGTTCAAAAGACAAAAAATGAACTTGGAAACTCCAAACCCAGGGAGGATTTGCAGTCCCCTAAGGAAGAGGGGACTGCAAAATGGGTGAGGGCAGAGCCACAGTGATCTAAAGGATCTAAAGGGAGTTTCCCAAAATGACAGATGTGGATGAAGAAGCCCTGCCAGTAGGTATTAGTAGCTGCTATGGACAAAACTGCTCTGTAGGAAGATCTAAGTCAAGGTTTTTCAGTGGCACAGTAGCAAAGTTCCAAGGAAACTATTCCATGTAGGAGAGGTGAATAAACACAGTGGTTATTATTTAAAAATGAAAATGCCAACAATGTAGCTGAGCAACTTATCTGCAGAAATAAATTCTGCATACACCTAAAAATAAACCTTAAAAAAATGGAATGTATCAAATTTTAGCAGAGTAGGGCTGGCAACATTGTGATTTCTTTTCATCAATGACACTTATTTTAAAACATGAACTGGTATCTGACATCTACATAAAATTCTTGAGTAGGACAACATGATCCTGCTGCCATGACACCCATTTTGCATCTGAAAAAGATACTACTTTCTAAGTATCCCACATTGCCTCAGATTAATTATCTAAATCAAGTTTCTTCTCTTGACAAGGGCACAAGTTAATTTATCTAAACAAAACCTTGTTTTAAATTTTTTAAAAACCTTAATGCTACACAATCTAGTCATACACTGTAAGTGGATTCTGATCCCAGATGCCACCAGAGGAAAAAGCATGAACAATTTAGCCTGTGGACTGTTTGAGGAAGCCACAGTTTTTCATCTTCAAGTGTAGTCTTGTGTATCAAAACAAGGCAGCACAAAGTAAAAATGTGGCTGGAGGATGGATATCTGCGAAGGGGAAATTTAGAAAAATTTAATTTCATTGTAAAGACTGAGCATTTAGGTTGGAAAAAATTGTAGGAAGTACTACTTCAAAAATAACACTGTCCACACTCAGCAGAAATGCCAGAAGTCTGCATTTTAACAACAGTAATTGCCAGTCATTTGTCATAGTTTCCCTTATGTCAGTCAGCCTTTCTTGCCTGCAGAAATTGTAACACCAAATGTCTACTCCTCTTACATAACAACTGTGTAAATATAGAGAAATAAACAGTCCTAAAGGACTCTACAACTTCATTTATACACCAAGATGGTCACTGAGTGTGACAAACGCTGCTAACAACATTTCAGGAAGGTCAGAGGCAATGTCCTCACTTAAGAACACGGTGTTAAGGAATAGCAGAGCAATTTTCCAAGGAAAGGTTAGATCTAAACTACCATCATACATGAAAGCAAGGACTGATTAAAATCCAACACACCAAAAAGCATGAGGAAAGCCAAGCTGTTCAAGAGTTGCACAGGAGAGTTACAAAGGGAGAAAATAGAACATATATACTTGATAGATCATAAGACCTCACTGACTTTTTTTTTTTTGAAGTGAGGGAATACAGAACAGCACAATTCAGACACAGGAACGATTAATCCAAGATTAAGGAAAACTGTCTAAACAGTTTATCTCCCAGTAATAAGAAGGCGTCACAGTTTAGGAACCCCGTGAATGGAGCAATTGTTTAAACACAACGAAAAAATGCCGGCATCCAGTAGAGATGAAATGAGCATTTGAGTAAAATGAAGGAGCAATTTAAAAGCTTTTGAGAAAAATCAATAGAATGCCAGGGAAGAGCAGGCTTTTTGAGCATTGATGGGCCCCTAAAGCTCTTCATACATTGTTACTGAGTTTAGCAGCAGGGAAAAGAAAATTACACAGTTTGCAAGGGTAGGCGGGAATCAATACTGTAGTTAGTAAAGAGATGCTATTTCACATCTGAGTGGCCAGCGGCCTGCCTTCACCAGCCTGTCCTGATACCTGTTTGTTAACAAGTCACTAAGGGCTGAAAAACCAGATACTCTTCAGGGTTGACACAAAAAATAGGCACTTAATTTGCTCCTGTGTGTGAACTATGGGAAAAGGATGAACGCTGCAGATTAGCGGGTCAGCGTAATCCCAACTGATTCCCGGTTCCAGGACTGAAGAGCCCAAAGCACCTTTCTGTGGACATTAGCTAGAGTTTAAAATTTTCTACTAAGATAATGAATGATCCATAATAACAACGACAGTGTTGTCAAAACAGTCATTAGCACACAAACCTTATGAGTTCTATCTGTTTCCCCCTTTAATCACACAAAGATAAAAATAAATCTACCATCCAGTAGGAAGTAGATGCAAGAAGAATTTTGCTGCAATTTAACCATACAACTGTTCCCCAAATTTAAGTGGTTTTTTCCAGATTTTTCAAACTGCTATCATTAATGATGTCAATCAAACAGTTCCTGACTGTTCAGTAGGTTCCCCATTGTGTATTTCCCATAGCAGAACTGCTTAGAATTGCTTCAAGACCTTTATAATAAAAAAACCCCAAAACCAAATACCACTGAAAACCAACCAAACACACCCCTCCAAACCACAAGCATCAAAAGAAGCAAAAAAAGAAACAAAAAAGTTGATGAAAACACTCTAAAGCAAATATAAAAATAGCAAGGCAGAGCAAAGAAGAAAGTGGATAGAAGTATTTAGTGGCATCTGGTATATGTATGGCTTTAGAAACATGGAGGATTTTGTCCAAATTAATGGCACAGCTTGTGCAGCATGTCCCCAGCCAGATGGGATGGACCTTTTGTGACATTTCAGCTTAACAACCACACTCAGTAACACAAGGAGCAATGCCAACACTGGTTTGGGACTAACAGACACATCCTTGTGGACCAGAGGTGAGAAGCCTCTAACAACACTGAGCTGACACTGTAATAAAAATAAATACTATGTCTAGCCTCGAGCAATGGCAATTTCACAGGGAAAAAAAAAATCAATATTTTTCAGTCCAAGTGATTTTTATACCAGAATATTAGTTTCCAGTTTGAGATTTCAACAACACCTATCAGTTTAATTTGCTAGTTTTAGTTTGTCATAACTAAGCTGGGAACTTTCCTTTTTAACACAACATCCACACTCCTATCCTGGTTTCCCTGTGACAGTCCAACAGTGTCTGCTGGCTGGATGCCAGTTTAGAGCACTTACTCCACCTGGACAGGGATGGAAACTACCTGCAAATGTAGCACTTTGACACCTGCAAATACTAGAAGGTGTTTAGTAATTGCTGCACTGCTGTGCTGCTGTAATCACCAAGCACAGTCACTCAAAGATGGTCAAACAAGTATTAAAGGACACTGGGTGGGTCAATTCTATGTTTAAATGCACATTCATTCCACACAGACCTCTCTGAATACAGATTCCTGTTTTGAATACAGGTAACTGTTCCTCAGGCTCTCAAGAGGTTTCATTAAAGGTTCAGTAGCTTTATTAATGATATGCATAACTGTCAAACACCAAGTCAGGCAAACCTGAAGAGAGAACTCCTGCAAGGGAGTATAGTACAGTTATCAAAATGCTAATGCCTATGGGTAAGTTTAATTAGACTGCAGAATACTCACCTACAATAAATAGCTCAAACCAGAGAAAACTAAGACCTGCTGAAGGAAGCTAGGTTAAAGAAAAGCTGTCCCCTCCACTGTGTCTTTGCTGGATAGATCCTTCTCTCTCATCTTCCTTTGCAGTCCATCAGCTGCCAGTATCGTCCTGGTTGTAGTCCACCTGTCCATCACTAACAGGGTTCAGCTGTACTATTGCAAGAAAGCCTTTTATTCCCCTTGGAAGTCTTCCTGTCTGTGTACTTACTGCCTGCATTTCTCATCTACCAGTCCAGAGCTGAACCTTGGCTAAAAATGCCCAAATTATCTTCGGGAAGAAGGAGCTCCCCCCTCCACACCTGAAGGCTGCAGCCAATAGTTTTGTTGCCCATTCCCAACTATGTAAAAACAAAAATCCAGCATGCCCTCCCAAAACTGGTGGTAACACAGAGAACCTAATAATACTATCATTCTATTGTCTAAATCACAACTGTCAGGGACCAGCAAGATGAGATATCTTTGCAGAAACACAGGAACAGTTACTGCAAAGCACTTCCCAGGGAACAGGTCCAACCATCCTTGATAAACATGTTCCTTAAGACAAAGGCTGCAACTGATCTGTCTGAGCAGTGTTGGGAACATTACAAAAGCCACTGGAAATAAAGCACAAACACAATGTTAACATTATTCTGTCTACACATGTATCCATATTTATCACATCAGCAAGAACCACTGCAAATGAGCTGTAATTTAAAATCAACAGGAATGCAAATGGGAGAATGTGGTAAGGAGCAAAACAGGTAACAGGTATTTCCCACTTCTGCCTAGTATTTTTTTATTTTTACTTTTTTAAGATGCTGTGCAGACACAGACCTGGCTGGGCTGCTTGCTTCTCAAACTTCATCTTTTCTTCTCTGGCTCTGTCCTCTGCATTTACAGGAATCCCAGAGTCATCCCGAGGAATTATCTTTCCATGGAAAGGGCACTTGAGAAAGAAAGGGGGGGAAAGAAAAAAAATCTCACAGTTTTTGAATGAAAAGAAAATGTTTAATTTTATTCAACACAGCTTAAAGCTGGAAACTGGAATTGAGCAACAAAACTACACTTGACTCCCAGTCCTCTTTAGAAAGCATCCTTTTACAGAATCCTGTAAACATCATGTGTTTAATATATTCAGAATGTCAAATAAATAACCTCTTTTTGGAACAAATATCCAATTTCAAGAGACCATGTAGCACATCCTGTCAAGGGTGGAACTAGAGCACCTAGGGCATCATGTATTGTTGTTTATGCTCTATCCCTATCCTGTAACAATCTCATTAAAAGTACTGAAGTGCATTCAGATCCTTCAACCTCAGACAATACAGGAAGAACAGAGTTACTAGAACCAAGTATTTAAGCAAAATAGTTCTGCTCCACACTGCTAATAATTTGAGGCTGTGTAGAGTTTAGCTTTCATAAAACTTAATTTGCAATTAAAATTTCTTTGTCCCTTAAACATGTAAGTTTCTAGAAACAATTAACATCAAATATGCCTCTGAGGAAAATTTTTCAGCCAAGAACTATCTCTGCCTTACTGCCAGGTACTTGCACATCACAGGAATAAATAAAATCCAGACAACCTACAATGAATGCCAAAAAAATTGAGAGTTCTTTAAATGTTTACATCTTCTTTATCAAAAGGATGTTTTCCTTACAAAGCACATATTAACAATGAACTTTTCCAACACACTGTTCTTCCACTCCCTTGAGCTATACTTACAATGTGAAATAAATTTTTATGGATTTTTAAGGAGATTTTCTCCATACAGCACAGATCTTGGAAGTGGTGCCTACCTTAATCCGATCTTGTCTCTCACACAGACTTCCATCAGGCATGGGTGCTCGACATTTGTGTTTCACTGGCTCAAACTTGCCAGCAAATGTTATATACCTCGTTTTTAACATTTCTGTAATTTCTTTATTTTCCACCTCTTCCTCTACTTCACTGGGAGCCCAAAATCGATGCTCAGAGGTAAATCTGGGAAAACAACAAATGAAAATAATTCACACACAAAATGGTAAGAGAACACATAGAGATGACATTATCAACCTGTGCTAAACACACATGTGAAAGGAAGGGAATTACTAGTGAATTAAAAAGCCCTAGGAATCTACCAGTTTTTCTTATGGCTCCTGTATTATGAAGATATTTTTAAAATACCACAAAGCCTGTCAAGTATTGATTTCCTGTTTAACCTGCTAAGCTATTACAAGTCTTAGCTTTAGTTCATGATCTGACATCCACAGTCAGTTATCCAATTTCCAGATTCAGTGAAAACTTTGTAATTCTGTACTTAACATTCTTCATAACAAAATACTTCTATGATTGAGCACAGATCAAGGAGGAAACAGCTTGATCTTAATGTCTCTGATCTCATTCCTGATAGCTGGACTCCTGCAGCAGCAGAGAAGCAGAAGCTGGAATCAGAGGATGTTGCAATAAACTGAGACCACGGGAAAGAGCAAACAATCAATGAGCCTTATACAGATTCTTCCTTCAAGGTTCTCCTACACAGTGTCCACAAATCTGAGAAATTAGCAGGTGTCCCTCTAAGAAATTAAGCTAATCCATGGAAAGCTATTTTAAAATTAGAGACCTTACCTACATTTACAGACACGCAGGCAAACAAAGATTTTCTCAACAGCATTCATATAATTTCATATTAATATTCACATTATTTCCACCCTAAGCTGCCAACAGTCTGTAGAGAAAAACAAGCAATCCCAGAGAGCAATTACCTGACTCATTTTAAATACTAATCTTAGGAGGCAATGACTGTCCCTCTGATGGTAAATGTTTCTTTCTCTTAATCATGAAAAGAAATTAGGGTAACCAGCTTAAGCTTAGGTATATGATTTTAAGATATCTGAAGTTAACTACAACAATCCCACCCCAAATTTAAGGAAATATCAAGTTAAAGAGGAAAAAAATACAGCTAAACTAAGGGAAAAAAATTGCAGCCTGCATGTCTGCTGCTCATGACAAGCAAGATGAAGATACCTAGATGACAGATGTCTTGATAAGGACATAAATTCCTAAAGGAACCTTACAATCTCTTTCTTCCACATAGTTCTTCAACCCAATCAGTTCCAGAGTTATTTGAGAGGATTTTCTCTATCCATATCCAATTCCTCTCCAAGGATATCAGTGAATATTAGGATATTCACTAATATCCTTGGGTGTCATTCCTGCTTTGCTTTCTGTGGACTGCAGAGCCATATATACATGAACACTGGCTTCACTCATCACACCAGCCACAATTTGGCAAAACACATAAGCCAATACTTGCAAGAATTACTTTAAAGGACCTGAAAATTTTTGATTAATTTTATCTGATCAAGTTTTCAGTAGATGACAAAGGAAAAAAAAAGCAGAGGAAAATATCTGACCATACAAACCTATGACATATACAGCTGCTGGTTTTAATACAATAGTTGGGCATTTGAACTCTGTGAAGAGGTTATAACTAGGTTAAAAAGGGTTTAAGGAAACCCTGAAACATCTCTGTCATTTGCCAACATCAGAAAAATGTTCAACAAAATTCTTGTTAAACAGATTGATTCTATCTGTAATTTCTCCATCAAATACACCTCACTAGTGCCAGAGAAATGCTAACCTGCCATAAAGTACAAATAACTTTCTTCTGGTAAATTAGGGGATAAAGGCCAAAGAGTTCCAGTGGAAGCTAGTTCAACCATAAACACAGTAATGTATTTCCGCAGTTTTTGGTTAAACAAAATATTTTTCATTACATAATTCTGCAAAATGTAGCAAAAATCCCCAAAAGCCCTAAGAGTCTTTCTAAAAAATCAATATTACTTCAGCCCAGTGTTTGAACAGTACAGTATTTTAACTTTGGAAATTATGTGGCAAGTTTGTACAATAGAGAGTAAATAAAATAATGACATCAATTTCATATCTGCTTATTTTAATGCACTGCTGAAAGCAAAACTGAGTGGCAGCTCTGTGTCACTAACCCAGCAGCCACACAGAGGGGAAAGCATTCCTAAAAAAGGCACTATACAGGATTTTCACATCCATGACAATCTTACAGAATCTCTTACTAAAATTCTAGTGTCCTCTCATGGTCTGAACTCCCCTCCCCCTCTCAATTATCAAATTACAGTTACATGAGAATGAAGAAGCATTTAATAGTTGTGCATGTCAACCCTTCCAGTTAGGAAATAGTTCTATTTAATAACTTCTGTCTCCCTTCCCCTAAATACGCACCCAACAAATGTCAAGAATATTAAAATTATGTTTTGCCCTATGTATCACTGACCAGTATTTGGGAACGGAACTTAAAATATTCCTACAAATATATTAATACATATTACTGTTTATTACAAGCATATAACTTATTTTCTCCCAACTTCTCCAACAACTTGGAAGCAGGTGAGAGAACAAAGCAGTGGTAGTTCCCAAAGTTTTCTGATTTCTTGTTGTAAGTTAAACAACACTATAAACAGGCAGATGCTTGTTTGAAATAATGATGCATGTGACAAGTAAAACCTGCTTGTAAGATGGATCAGAAGAGGAACAGATAATCAACTAAAAGATAAAAAAGTTCAATGCCTCACATTTAGAGTGCTCCTAATCCAGATAAATAACAGAGGCTTCAATGGCAATGACACAGCAATAAATGAGGAGGAATAAAAGACAAGTAATGGTTAACTGAAATCTAAGAGAAAGTTCTTGGAGAACTGCTGCACTCTTTCAATTAATTTAGATCATCTTAATTTCTAATGTGACAGGAAGCTTTAAAAACAATGTATGAATATAAATTCTAACCCCAGATGCTTACAGAGATGCTGAAGCAAGTGCAAAAATGGGCTAATTCAAACATCCTAGTCACAGTTAGTGCCGCACCAGCTATTTCACTCTGCTCCTAAGAGTAAGCAGATTTAATTCAAGGAGGAGAGTAGATGAGTCTGGAAGGTCCATGCTATCCAAAATAAGTCTGTTAAGCTGACACAGCAGACTCTGCACAATTCAACACTGCAGCATTCACTACCTTCTGTTCCCCCCTCAAAAAACCCAACAAAACTTCTTTAGGAAATCTTCCAGGTGGCTACATTCTCACTGTTAAAATCTTCATTTATTGTAAATGCTGTGATTAAGTAAGTGCACTGCTAAATGAAACAGAAAGACTACTCCCCTTCAGATTTTAAAAATTCAAATTCCATACACATCCCATGTGTGTTGTCTATTTTTCAGTTTGATTTTTTCCCCTAAGAATCTTACAGAGTTAGTATGGGTGAATACAGAAACGCTGAAGGAGTTGACTGATAACTACCTTAATTTTTCAATAAGTCCGTTTTATGCCTGGGGTCAATGGTATTGTGTGTGCAGAGCTACTTAAATTATCTTTAGTTAGACTGGCACATCTGTAGTTATAGACTGTATGGTTCAGAAGTGTGCCCTCTATTTTATTGGGAAGCATAAAAATAGAACAGTACAGCACGAGGGAGACAGGCAGTGAAATATGCTTCTGATTTCACTTATGACTTGAATAACTCATTTGCAATGTAAAATAAGGCCTTACTACCTTTTTGGCATTATCATAGACAAATGCTTCTTAAAGCCCTGCTGAAAGTATTTTCATAGGCTTTGAAGAGCCTATACCACATGAGATGGAATCCAAAGCCTGGAGTGACTGTGGTAAACCTCTTTTATGCATCAAATTGCACCAGTTTTCAGTAATTTAACAGATACTCAGCATTTTACAAAATCAGGTGCAGGGGCAAAGATTTCCTCTTGTTCCTTTCTGCCAACACTGCTTTAGCACTGTCATTACAGGCTAGGGTTTTTTTATTTGTTTTGGTAAGAAAACAAACTAAGTAATACTGCTAAGAATATAATAGCTTAATTTGCAACCCAGCCAGTCAGTGATTTTTGCTTTTTTCAAGCCAGGTATGGTACACACTGATAGCAAAGTTCTGGTGGACTTAAATAAAATTTATACATAGAGGGAGGACTTTGCAATCCAACTTTCATTTAAAAATAGTAAAAAGCGTTTTTAAAAACTGACTGCTAGAAATACATTCTGATGTGTACCTACCACCTCTTCTCCCCAGCAGTGCTAAAGCTTTCCCTAAGTCAGCAGTGCTTCATGAAACACAAAACCTCCCAGACAGCAATGGAAAGTGAAAGATCCAAATCCAAATCCTGTAAGTGCCACCTTTCTCTTGTGTGACTGAATAAGCCTATCAGTTTCCTCAGTTACCACTCTGTGAAGTCAGGGAAAACACTTCCCCAGCCTTTCTCCTACCTTGCCTGCTACTTATTTAGATCTTAAAGTCTCCAGCTCAGGGAATGTCTATCACACACTTGGCAGAGCCCTTTGCATAACGAGGTACCAGCTTAAATTGGAGTAACTGATGCCATGCTGCAAACATAAAAAGAGCAGAAAAAAAAGTGCTTTGAAGCATCAAAGGATATTTAATTAGTATCACATCTTCTCAAAACAAATAACATTTAAAGGTAGAATTTCTGACTTTGTTTATGGGTCCTACAACACAAGGTAAAGAAGCAATTATCAAAAGAAATAGCAGTCACCCCACTGCATGACCTCTGAGTACAAGTAAATCTATTTATTTGTTTAATTTGTCTTAAAAGAAAAAGAGCATTACTTGAGAATCTTCCCAGCACTTGGCTGATCCTCTCCCCAGTAGTGAAGATCTAATCCAAAAGGCATGAGGGGGGCTTTAGCTCTTTCTTCTAGTTTTCTTCTTTTACTGTCAGGATCTTCCAAGTTTGCTGCCTCAGAAGTTGCAGATTCACTGGAGAAAATTGATGAGAAGTCAATACAGAACACCAGTGACCACAACAACTTTTTCTTTTTTTCTGTTTTCATTAGATTTTTTTTTTTAGACCAACACTAATATTACCTTACATGTACAATTACAACTATTTTTCAAGGTTGTCTTTTTTATTTTTCAAAGGAAGACATTATGACACAACACCACCCACTCTGTAGCTTACTGCATGTTCAGGTAGTGCTGGCTCACACACATCACACTGTGGGGCAGAAGCCCAGAGGTCTGATGGGGGCAGCAGTGAATCATGCATACAGCACTCCCACAGGAGACACAGATGTGGTACTGCAAATCACAGATTAATTCCATTTTGCTAGGTTTTGGGGGCTTTCCTGGCCCATACAGAAGAGTCTTTCCAGGAACATGCCACTAAGCAGATGACTCCAGCCTTATCCTCAAATCACAGCCAAATGCTAGGCAAGGCTGGAGTTTCACCAAACCTTGAGCAGGATTGATAACAAATATGATAACAATACAACATCTCCAGGCAGCACTGACAGCATAAGTCACTGGGAACAAAGAGATGTTCAAACTACTTGCTAACTGAACATTGGGATACACTGTTCAGCTGCAAACAAAATTTACCCACATAAATTGGGTGGGGGGGTGTTGTTAGCAAAGAAGGGAACAGTGTATTTTCATAAAGGCCATTTACACCAAACAAGATATATATTAACTGAGCAGTAAAAGGTTCTCTAAGATCCTGGTGCAATCACCAACAAAATCCCAAACATTAAGCAACGAATGTAACTTCAAAACGAGATTAAGTCAGCATCGTCAGCTTGCCTGGTTCACAAATGCTTTTCTGTGTGTTGTCATGACTAATAAACACAAGAGCAAGAGGCTTGTACAAGAATTAAAACAAAGATGACCTGGCACGAGGAGATGGTAGCTTTGGTAGTTTGTCTCTGAGCAGTTTCAGGGTGGCAGCTGCACAGGTTGGATCGAGTTCATCCTCGTTCCCTCGGAGCCGAGTGCGGGAGCTCAGCGGAGCTGCTCCTGCCGATGCCTTCACCACCGGGGCTTTTGGAGGTGACTGGGGTTCAAGCCCTGCAGAAAAACCTTGATGTTTAGGAGTGATTCCCTTCTCCCACCTTCACAGTCCACACAAACAGCTCAGGGTGCTGGCTACGTCTTCCTGCTTTCAGTTTGTGTTAGACATCAATCGCACTCATAGTGAAACAGAATTATTTAGAGCAGATTTGTTTTTCACGGATACTAAACCACACTATTTGCCAGAAGAAAACATTTAAGTGCTGGCAGAAGAAGGAAGTACACCCAGAGTCTGTCCCAGAGACAGGAAATGCCTGAGCTACACCTGAGGAACAAGCTCTCTGCAAGGCAGTACCAGGCACTGATGCTCAGCATCAGCAGCTCAGTGGTGGGTAACTTTAATTACTTTATACAGCCAAATTAGAGACTCAGCATGGGCTGTAAGGATGCAATTAGATAGGCTCAGCTTTAGACAGCACCTGCCTCTACTTGCTGAGCTGGACGAGCAACTCTATTAGCCAGTAGTAGCTACAAGAACTTTTCAGCCAATGACAGCTACATTTGGAAAGATCCCTCACACCAATGTGATCTGTCCCCTCAGAAAGCCCTTTTAGGAAATAATTTATTGAAACACAAGGGCTCATCCCTCAAAAATCCCTAAATTTTATACAAGAAGTCATATTTTCACAAACCTAAAATTTTCAGCAAATTATCTGAGCCTTCTTATGAGAAGTAACAATTTATCTAACATGTTTTGGCCATTACTTAATTGTAACTTTTAATCTTTTGCCCACTCCTAACCAGCCCTGAAGCTGCATTCAGAAGCATTCTTGCTTTGCTAGTCATTTAATGTATCACAATATATTAAGTAGAAAAGGAAAAGCTAATGTTGTATCTGTGACCAGCCATCTGAGTAAGAAATTGCAAGACCCACAGTGGCAGGGACACTTGGTACCCAAAATATTTTTATTTGAGAGAACAATGTATTTTCCATGAACAAAATTAGAACAATTTGCTGTGACCCATCTCACCACCTTATAATGTCACCCAGTAATTCATCCTGACCTTGACTGGTTTGCATCACCCATTGCCTTTAAGGCACGGGGTGTGACTGCATGGATGGCACTGCCTGACCAGAACCACAGACCAAGATGCTGAGATGCCAACCTCTGAGATCCATCCCCTGGGAATGCATTTTCCAAGTACCTACATCAGGAGCTGAGTCCTTGTGCAGGGAACAACATCCAAACCTGTTTTCCAAAGCTCAGGGCACCGAGGACACCTGTTTAACCTAACTCCTGGACAGCCTCTCCCCAGAGACAGCAACAATCCTCATCCAAAATCCAGAGTCCATCCTGCTGCTGAGCACATCTGGCACTGCTGCTCCCTTACTCACTCCTGCCCACAGCACACACTAACAAAAGCTATGAACACTCTATATTCTCCGAAGTCAACAAGCCTTTAAAGAACATTATCAAAAAAAGCCCAAAAAAACCCAAAAAACCCCCCAAAAAACCACCCCAAAAACAACAACAAACACAAAACCCCAACGAAACGAAACAAACAAACAAAAAAAAAAAAACCAAACAAAAAAACCCCAAACAAAAAACCAAACTAACAAAAAAAAAAACCCAAAACACCCAAAACCATTTAAATGTCAAATCTCTGCACTAGAAAACAGTCTGCAGAAGGACCAGGAATAAAGGAAATGATAATTAAATATAATAGGATGGATTTAAGCAGATTTCTAGGTTAAACAGCAGAAGAAATTATTTCATTACACTTATTAGGGTGTGGACTTGCTGTTCAAGAGGGAGAATGGTGCCTCCACAAAAATGTGCTTTTAAACAGCACTTCAGTGGCATAACAATGCAGGAATTTTGAATTTATGCCTCTGGAAAGGGGGCAGGGCTCCATCTCAGTTCACATCACAGGCTAGAAATGGAAAATGCCTTTCTCAGGTGCTGTTATCAAAGTGAAACAGAATTAACCAAAAACATTGTTGCAATCACACTTTAGAATCATCAGTATTTGGAGAAATAAACTTCCTTTAAGGACAGAAACAGTTACAAACAGGGCCTTTGGCCTTGCTCAGTTAACCTGGTTAAGAATATGTCATAAACTATCTGTAATGCAGAATTGCTCAGACTGTATTTAGCACTTAAACTGCTTTCTTCCTTTTTTTTAAAGGACTCTTTCTGAAAAGCATTGTTGAAAGCAAATATTTTGACAGCACTTGTATGTGTACTATTTACAAATGGTAAAAAAAAAGCCAGAAGATAGCAGGTTTGTGTCACCACACCTCTCATCTTCAGAGAAAATACATGCTATGTATTAAAAGTTTTCAGAAAACCCTATTTTTTCAATTTCTTTTCCTATGGAAGCATGATTGCTTGTTCACAACACTGGTTTGGCTGAGGAGGAGGGGAACAGCAGAGACAAGCAGTCAGCAACAGACAGGAAAGGCAAGAAAGATAAATGGACAATGTGACATTTAGACAGATAAAAATCACATCTGGAAGATCAATATAGGAATTCTTAAGAGTTACAAGAACAAAATATTTTCTCATTGATTTCTTATTTTAAACTATTAACAGAAAAATAGCTAAAAATAGATACACTAAGACATCAGTAACATCACCTCCACTGTGGAGTTTTTAAAAAGTACTTATGTATGAAAGTAGGTTTTGCTAACAAGATAAAGACAAGAGTGACCAGGCAGACAGCCCCAGCTGAATGGTGTCCAATATCAGGGTGGGGTTGCTTTGTTTTAAAACATAGATGGGATTAGGTACAGTTTTAAAAGTAAAATTCCTCTTCAGAATTCTGCTGTTCTGTGTGGTTTATTTAACAAGTACAGTACCTGGGTTGAAATTGTACCAATAGCAGCTTTGAGAAAGAATCATAAAAGTGTTTAAATCCCCCTTTTTGTTTAAATTGACCAAATGGCACCTATTGCCTGAAGCAATAAAGTAGCCCGTGTTCACAAGATAAATCTATAGAAGGAAAGAGAGAGGCTGGGGTTTCAGCTGAAGTTAGGCTGCTGAATGCTGACATTATTGATTTTAGCTAGTTCAGCTGGCCTTGTAATTAAAATGTAAATTTGAGAAAGAGATTATGTCCTGACAGAAATGGTGGGATTAGGGGGAGATAAAAGCCCCTCAGTGAAAATTCAGAGAAAAAGCAAGCCCAGGTTTCCTCAGCTGTGTGGATTTAGAGGAAATCAAGCTACTTCAGATTCACTGAAGTTTAACTGAAAAAACAGAGATAGAATATAAACAAGTATTATGGACTTCACCTTTCCTGAAAAAAAAATTAATAATTTCTGCTGCCCATTTGTTGAACTTAGTCAAGCCAGGTGTATGTGATTTATAATAGTAGACACTGTCCTAGATTGTCAGGAAAATCCAGCAGTTCAGGTCCAGTATTTCCCCTCTTACTCTGTGCTCACAATGAAAATGCCTGCTGGTACTTTACTCAGGAAGCACAATAAGCTTTGGACTTTGCAAAGCTTCCCAGTGCCTTCAAATGTAGCTATGCTCATTTATGTGAAATCTTGGAATCCTCTTTTGGAAATTCAAATTAAAGAAAAAAGATAACTATGGTAGTTAAGAAGAGCTTACTAACATTACATAAACACTTAGTGTGGCTTACTGGAATTACAGAATATGTTGATACACTGTTACCTCTCATTAATTAACCCTACTTTTTACTGCTTTACAATTATAGTTAAGAACCAGAAAACACAAATATACAGCATTTATATCAAGCCCTTTCTATACCTTACACCCTCATCTTTTAAGCTTCTTCCTTGTGACTTTGCATCCTCTGGCCATGCATAGATCCTCTGAGGGACACTGCTGTGGCAAACTACTTAAAAGTGCTCCAACATCTTGTGCAGTGAGCATTAATTTCCAAGAACTTCAGCAGAAATCAAGTATATCTGATAATCTGTTAGATTTTCTGGGAAATTTTCATTTACCCAGCAGGACCTCTCCTGACAATGAGGAAAGTTTCCATGACCAGCTGATCAGGATGCATCAGAAGAAATATCTACAGTCAATACTTCTACATGGATGTTGAAGTATTTTCTTAAAGGGATAATCATGTTTTTCCATAAATATGAAAAGATAATCTTCAACCAAATATTGCATTACAGACATTTATTGTCCCAAGTGTGGGTTGGTCTCTGTAGGTTCAAGCTGCGCTAAAGAAGGTTGAGGTTGGATATTAGGAAAAATTTATTCACTGAAAAGAGCAGTTAAACACTGGAAGAGGCTCCCTGGGGAAGTACTGGAGTCACCATCCCTGAAGTATTCAAAAATGAGTAGATGTGGCAACGTTGTAGTTTAGTGGGCATGGTGGTACTCAAAGTTTAGATTTCATGATTTTAGGTCTTTTCAATCTTAATGATGATTCTGTGATTCCATACAGGACTTGTGTTTGTACAGATATAGGTATATCAAAACACACATATAACAAGGCAATCTCACTTGTAAAATTATAATTAAATACTTCTGGAGTTTGAGATCCTAACAAAAATGGAGACCACACATGCATTTGATTACAGAAATTCTGGTCTGGGGTTTTAACTTCAATGCTGAATACCTGTTTTCAGTACATTTATGATAAATCAACACATGCTATTTACATCATGTAACACCTACATCTGATTTTTTTAAAGGATTCATAGTATTATTAATAGAAAACTTATTCTAGGTACTCGACTTGTCAGGCTGAGAAACACAACTGTGTGTTACTTGCATTTTCCAAATTTAGGAAAAAGGAACCTGAATTTCAAAGAGGTAAATAAGTAATTCTGTCTAACATTCCCCCTGTAAAACATGACATACTTTTTCCCCTTAGAGAAGTCAGGTACAAGCCTTATTTATCTCAGACAGTGTAATTCTAAGTCTCAAACTCAGCCCCTGACAATGGTGCTTTACACACTCTGGAGTTTACATGTTTGCTTCTGCTGAGGTCTCCACTGAGCTGCTCCTCCACATAAAACTGTTCTCTACATCCTTCACGTGCAGGGAGAATTCCCTCAGAAACTCCTGAGGTATGAAGACCAGACAAATCAAACCTGACTGAAAAGCTAGATCCAGACAAACTGAGAAATCACTGCAGTAAGGAAGGAAAATGCTTAGGTATAATTTTAATTTCCATCTAGCCAGCACAGGTGTGTCTGCTCAAAGATTCAACTGCAGCTACTTAACACACAGAGAAGTATGACTGAGATACCATCAGATTAGAAAAGGCAGTCTGGGGACATCTAACCCAGAAAAAGCATTTCCTATTGTGAGGAAAATAGGGAAGAATTTCAGAAATTAATAGAACTAACTCTTGGGATTTTAGAACTGTAGCTTTGATTCCCATATGAAAGAAATCTCAAGCAGACTCCAAGATGCAATGTGAACCTGTGAAGTAGCTATCAGCAACCTAAAACCATTCAGCTAAAGGCCCAAATACAAGAGAAATAATCTTATTAACCAGAGCAGAAATAAAGGCTTGTGACTGCACAGTCATTCCTAATATAATTTTGGACAAAGATGAAACTTGATAACAAGTAGATTGCTTCCATGCTAAGAGTCCCAAGTCAGATGGGTTCCTCTATCACCTCTTGTAAAACAGCACTAGGACTCCCCTGTCCCCAAAGCATGATTGCATGGGTAAGTAATGCTTGCAATGAGACACAGGCAAGAACTGCCAACTAAAGTGGGTGCTTCAGACTAGAGCTGAGAATTGTTCCATTTGCACGTGGAAAAGAAAAGAGATCACTTCCCATGTGGGCCAAGACCACCAAGGGCAGGAAGGAATCTCTCATTCCTTGGCATCAGCCAAAAATCCTGTTCTATGGGACAAGAGCAATGTCAGGGCTGCACAGTTCCATCCCTTACCTCATCCACCCTAAGGCTTTATGCCAACGGAACCAACAGCTGACCAGCAAAGGCTGGAATGTGGAAAACCTCCAGTGAAAAGGTTTTATTTCCCCCTAAAGTTTTCCTTTAAATGAATAATGGCTCCATTTTCCAGGGCTGAGCAATACCAGCCATACAAGGGCAGGTCACTCATCAGTGGTACCAGCAGAATCAGTGCCCAGTGGTGAGATCTGAGCAACCATATGAAAATTATTTCCAGTGTTGTTTCTTTTTCAGCCAAATATTCCTCTTTAGCACCACAGTGTATTTTAAATGACCCCGTGGTCCCACAGGAGAGCTGGCCTCTTGTCAGCTGCAGCCATCAGATGCAAGTGTAAATAAGGATTATACAAATGGGAAGTCATTAAAATTCTGGTAATGCTAATTTGGCATGACACCTCTAATGGGTTATATCTTCACACTTCAATTATCTAATCACCTAAATTCTTTTAACAAATTTACATTTCATTTTATACATCAAGATTCAAATTGACTCGTTCAATTCTACCTCCACCCAAACTGCACCCATGCTCAATTCAATTTCTGTATTTAATATCATCACCAATTTTGAGACTGTAGTTATTAACCACATAAACACACAGATAATACAACTGCATGTGTCTATATACTTATGCATAGAACTTTTAATAAATTTTCATTTTTAACAAGTTTTTCAGCTCTCAGAAGAAGCACAAAATTTACCTTGTTGGTAGGATATATTTTTGTGAGGGAAATGAAAGGAAATAAAGTGACATTTAAATCAATACTTTACATGTCACGTTTCAATCCATTTCCACAGTCATGTTTTACAGCTTTGTTTTCTGGTTTACTGTATCAAGTTAATCTGGCTTGTTCAGGAAAAGTAACAACAAAAGGAAAAATAGCTTTTAACCATTCACACTTTCCACATAACACTCGGATTTTATTTCACATGGGAGGTTTAATGCTTCAGTTAGAACATTACACTCACACAGACTTTCATTTTCTAAGCTGTGATTTTCAGAAATTCTGAGTTATTTTCAGCCCAATTCCTAAACTGGGAACATATATAATGACTTTAAATGGCAGTAAGTAAAGCTGAATGTCTTCAGAAGCATCAGGAATGATTAATTTCTTTCAAAATGTTGTTTTTTAATGAACACATCAGATTAAGAAAAACCAAGTGTGACCATTAGCCCCTACGTAACAACAGTTATACAAAATGAGAGGTTTTGTTTGTTTTCTGATTGATTGACTTCTTCACTATAATGTATTCTCCTATCAGCAATAATTTAAATACAAATTGGGAATTTCTTAATCCATTTTGATCTTTAAAATATCCCTGAGTAGATAGCAGGCTTCTTCTTTTATCCTTCCCTATAAGAAGGAATTCAGACAGCAGCCAAGTATTGTGTTAGTGTGATACAAAGGGTGGTAAGGTGCTTTATTTTTAAAAGATGTGTGTCCATGAGGAAGATGGGATAAAAGAGGTGAATACATTTCACTTCCAGCGAAGCTGGCAAGTACAAACAGAACTTTTGCATGTTAGAATTACTTAGGCTGCTACTAAAGATATGAAAAACAAGTTCCAGGTGGTAGCTGCAGCCTGATTTTTATGAGGTAAACTGCAGAAATGGGAAAAGTAAGCATCAACAGGATTGAAAAAGCCACAGCAACAGCACCAGTCTTACACAAATACTCATGGACAAATGCAGGAGGAAGCCACTGCTTACAGGTTTTTTAACTTAAAGATTTTTGATGGCAGCTACCCTTCTCTACAATGTACTGAAACCTTGGGAGTCCTCAAACATACTGAGTTACACAGAAGTAAAGCTGCAGACTTACCAAGCAGGAGGTGCAAAGGACAAGGAGCAATGCACTGAAGTTGAATTAAGATGAACCTTCTTCAATGACACCACTCTCAATTTGACAAGAACACAAGTAAGTATAACTTAATTTAAAAATTATCTACTTTTACTAAGAATACAAAATTATAGTTTGTTATCTGGTATGTGCTCTGTGCCTGCATTCTGCACTTGAAGGCTGAGCTGCATTTAACATCACCTAAACAAAAAGACAGCAACACCTAAACAAGAAGAGCCACCCTGCAGCACCCTAAGTTGGCCATTCTCTGGGAGGAAGAGGCTGTGCATATCCAGCTGCCACTAATGCAGGTGAGGGAACAGCACCTTATCCCAGCTCACCAGCCTGGCACCAGTATTTGTAATATTCAGGCTCACTGCCAGCTTCCCTTTGCAATCCCTTCTCTCCCAGTGTGTGTTCTGCACACTGACAAGCACACAGGGTGCTGCTCCTGGCTCTGAATTCCTGTGGAAGATGATAGAATGGAATAAGCTGCTCGTCTCAGTTGCTCCTGCTCCTAAAAGTATTTGTTTATCCAGAGCCAATCACTGCTCCTGTGTCCATGTAATGACTTCCTCAGAGCAGGCAGAGATTACCCACGCTGCTGATCACTTTATTACTTCAGAATGGCTGTTTATTTACCTTAGTGCAGCAGTAACATGCAGGGATAAAGCTTGTCACAGCTGGGCAAACTCACCATATTCCTTACGCAGGTGGTCTGGAATGTGGGGCTCATAACCTTCCTTCTCAGGGACCTCCACAAACTCATCTTCATCCTCATCATCATCATCATCCGAGGCTTTCATCTACAGAGATATTTTTGTTGGAGTTATTTTCTCTTTATTTTCATGTGAAGACTGTTTTTCATTTCCCTTCAGACTGAAAATATTTTGCAAACATCCTGATAGCCCTACTGAGACTTCTCTATGTCAAAAGTATTTCCCTAATTATGTATTTAATCTTTATCTAAGATTAGGCCTTTGCTTAACATTTTATCTCTAAAGCCATACTCTATCCTAAGGGCCTCCTTAAAGCCCCTTTTATCCATTAGAACACATGCAGCTGGTGAAGTCTGAGAAAGTGTGAAGCTATAAAATAAGACCAAAAAATCTTAAAATAACATCAAGATTTTGACTTAATGAGCAAATGACAGTCTCAACTCTTCTCATTTTGATGATTTTACTCATTTACCAGCACTCAAATAATCTGTGGCATGTTAAATGGTATCACAAATTGTTTAAGAGTTCAAAACCAGAGAAGGCAAACAGGAGGAGAAGCTGATGAATGGGCAAGCTAAAAGAGACCCAAATAAGAATATTCAGATCTGTATACCACAGTAGTTCAGTGTGTTTCTTCACAACAGCACTAAAAATAATTTGATACATTAATTTCTTAACTGATTTGGTACATCCCAATCAATTATAACAGCAGACAGCACACTCTACTCTGATAAAGACCAACAAAACAGGATTTTCCTAAACGTGCACTTGGTCTGTCTTGCAGTCTGAAATTGCGGATCGACGAGTAGGTGAAAAAAAAAAAGGAGTTCCAACTAACCAGTGTAATTCATCCACATAAGTGGCTTCCTATGTATAATTTTAACTAGCAACTGCTACGTATGTGCCATCAAATCTATACTTTTTCTAAGCTTGTTCCATACCTGAAAATGATTTTTATTCCTAAACTGCACATAAGCTAAAAGAATCTGTGTCACCAGACATGGCCTGTACTATCAGAGCTTTAAAAAGAACTACCCTAAAAAGGCAACAATGATGGAGACTTAAAGCTTTATTTCCTTTGCCCATGTTCAGAGTCACCTCATTCCCAACAACATAATTAGCAGTTTCTTGTATGTTTGCCATGTGCTTTTACAAGGAAATAGTAAAAGGTATCCACTAAATCCATCAGAGGCTACCACTTCTTCCACTTCATTGCAGCAACCCAAAGCAATCCAATTGACAAGGAATAGCATAATTTTCACTATTTTCAGCTGTGTTCTTGACTTCTATTAGTGCACCTGGATTCTGTTAATATTCATACCAACTACTCATTGTTACAAGCAACAGAGGATACTGCAGCTTTTGCCTGCAGCAGAATTTTCCCAATCTAACTCACTACTCTAATCTTGTGTCACAGCTGAGTTCCTTTAAATCATACATATACTCTGCAGCCAAAAATCTAGCAGCTAACCTTGGCTAATCAAATGTGCTTAAAAAATTAAAATAAATAATAACTTTTAAAAAATCAGTATTTCTTTTTGGCCATAATTAATTGTAAGCTGGACTGTATTAATTTCTAACAAAGAACATTAATTGATATTAATACACAGATATACATTAACACAATGTGAATGGATGGTGTAAGTTAGAAGCAAAATTCTTCTCTTTGTTTCAAAAGTTACTTTGAGCTAAGGAAGCTGCAGTTCCAGTGAAAAAGAAGAGAAAAAACCAGATTTACTGTCCTGATGACAGGAGCTGATTTACCATTGCATTCTTACTACAGAATACCTAATTACTCTTCATTTTAAAGTAAAGTCTCAGGGCAATCATGTTTGAGAGCACCTGGCTGCCAAAGCCAGGTAAGGACCCCAGTGCAGTCTCAGCCCAATTATCCCTGCCCTGAGAGCTGCCAGTATTTTTTCAGCTCAGTGCAGGTGGATCCTGCACCCTTGGTTTACTTTCTGTTTCCCACTGCCATAATTTCTCCTGATCTAAAGGAAAGCAGCAATTCAGGCCACACCTGGCCCAGCCTAGACATGCACACTGAGCCTGACCTCCCCAGCAGAATCCAAAACAGAGCTCTAATCAAAGAAAGGATCCACCACTAAGCACAAACTCCCAAGGCCACTAGATTTGAAAGCAGAACATCTGTCTGAAATTACAACTTTTAGAACACATTCCTTTAGAAAGAAAAAAATCATGTTTTCTACTGCACATCTGAAGAGGGCTAGAGATTGAAGAGAAGTTAGGTGGTTTGTATTTTGGTTTTGAAATTCTGCTAGTGTTGTCATTCCCTTTTCATCTACCAGGGACAATTTAAATTTGGAAGTAACCACCACCAAATAACCTCCAGTATTTCTCCAGCTACAAGCAGGACATCATCGTATTTTTCATATTCAGGTTCCATTTCTTACCTAGTTTTTAAAAACGATTTCACTCAAGATAAAATTTGTTATAGATGATCTTAGTTTGCAACTTCGTGCAATAATGTACAAACTAACTTTCACATAATAAAACAGGGAAAGGAAATTCAGTGTTTTCCCTTTGTATTTACTCAGTCTGTAAACAAATAAACAGCAACAGGTTTAAGGAACAGAGAAACAGTGTCAAACAAGCAAGAGGAAAGAACTCAGTCCAGCCTGATCATTTAACTTAAATTGCCAGATTATACCTAAAATAGCAGGGATATAATACCAGTACTTCCTTGCATGTCATATCTGAGGGGACTAGAGGGAAAGCAGAGTACTATCTTTAATTGAAATTTCACCTAATTTGTTCATATCACTCGAGGCACATATCTCTCTTTATGGTAATATTCTAAAATTCAGTGGACTTCACTAATCCTCCACTTGAAAACTGCACTGGAAGCAACTTTGCTGTATTACCTGCATGATCTAAAACTTTAAAGCACGTGAAAAGCCTGACAGAGAGAAGGCATAATCAGATGCAAATTCACTTTGTTTAGGTACAATCCATGAACTGTGCATTCAAGTACTATAGAAAACATTAATCATAGGAAACTGTAATTTTTGTTATCAGTCTAACACTAATCAAAAGGGAAACCTGTCACTACCACTGACCTGTGAAACGTCCCAATTATACTCTTCAGAAATGACAGGAGCACTTAACTTCCTCACTGGGTAAATGACGACAATCAATCAACTTTGAATAACAATGAGCCACGGAGCTGAAAATTATTTTTTGTATAGAATCTACCCAGGAATTTATGAAAGGTGAAAAGCAACCCAAGGTTTTAGGGGCATTATGGCTTTCAGCTAGTGCAGCACATATCAAACACTAAACAGAATTTATGTGTTTTAATTTTCTAAAAGGTAGATGTGGACTTGGTGCTACAATGCATAACATATAATGCCAGATTTTAAATATGGGGGTCATTTTCATAAAATATTATGCGTATTGTTCACACCCTTGAATTTCCCTGGAGTCTTCTATTAAATTTAGATTTCCTGGAAAAAAAATTAACTGCTTAGCTAACTATCAGGAATTAAGCCCTCTTTTCCCTTCAAATAGACATAAAGTCTTTATCTTGATAAAATCCTTAACAAGTTAACTAAGTTATCTTTTTACTTTAAAATATTAAAGTTGTCACTGTTGGAAATTCAAGAAGTTGCACAGTAATAGCAGGTAGTTATACCTCAATTTACTTCATTCCAGTGGTACTTTATCAGAAACATCCTATTTATGTAAGTTTGTTCCATTTCCTTGCTAGAGAAAGTGGGAGAGCTCATGGGCAACATTATTAGTTAGAAAATGTTTTGTTTTTTTTTAAATTCCAAAAAGCAACTTCTACAGAGGTAGTGGGAAAGCTCAACCACCTCCTATCTATGTTTCCATTATAGGTAAACTTTTTCAGTCAATAAAAAAAAAAAAGAAACAATCTACCATTAAATCAGAGGAAATAAATATTTAAGACAATAGTTTTAAGTGGCAATTAAATTATAACCCTTTAAGGAATGAGGGGTTAGGGTACTTGCAACCATGAAAAAGGAGACGAAGATAAAAACAAGCAATATGGAATTGCTAGTGTGCCATGGCTGAAAGGAAGTAAAAGTATAAGAGCAAGTGATAAATATCACAATGTAAAGCTTTTCTTGTAGTGTACAAGATTAAATACCTCTAAGACAGGTAGTCACAAACTGCTTGTTTCTCAATCACCTGTCAAAGAATGTGAGAAAGAAGCTCCTGGGTTCAAATCCATTCTAATTACCAGGTGATATGAGGAAACTCTCTAACACAGTCTTATCACAGATGGAGGTGAATGGGCCCCTGTGTGCCACTAGAGAATGGTCCACCAGAGGCTGCTTGCACCACCACTGCTCCTCAAGTTCCAAGAGGAAGGGAATTTTTAGCCTGTTAATCTGCTCTAAAATGCTGATATTTATTTTTTATTTATTTATCTAAGTCATAGAATGATGTGCTTGCAAAATTATGCGTTGGTTGTTGGTTTCTTTAACATGGTAGGATCACTGACTAGGTATCTATATTCCTGTGAGAAGAAATGGGATTTAGCTAGGCAATTGTCAGATTCTTGAGCTGGACTTATTTACATATAAGAATATGGTATAAAAATAGAAAAAAACATATATGCATTATTTTCACTGTAATCACTTAGCACATCTTCAAAATTCTCCTGATTTTTCACTAAAAACTTAAAATAGTGCTGACTATTCCAACTAGACAAGTGCAACAAACCATTTCCTCCCTAACTCATTAAAAAAAAACTTGAATGAACAGATGTTTCCTTATTACTCTGCATTATTAAAAAAACCTGGAAAAAGCACTGGATGCCAGTAGAAATGCAATTGTTTCTTTTACTTTGCAGTCAATGCTCCAACAGCCTCCATCTGTTAGTGCAGCTCAGTGCAACCAGAGCCCAGTTAAAGGCCTTGTTCACCCATCCCAACCAGTAATAAATGTGAAAAAAGCCTCCACCCATATTGGAAATGTGAAAAAAGCCTCACACAATGCTTGGAAAGATGTGAAGAAAAACCCTTGATCCTTTGCTCACTTTTATACAAATTGACTGCTACATTCTGTTAAGAGGATTTAAAAACCCGAGTCTCTGC